ATAATGTACCAATTGCAATCATCTGTTCAAAGGAAAAAAAATCTACAAGGGCTAAATCAATACCTAGAACATATTTTAAAAATGAAACAGAAGGTTTGAAGCAAAGAATTGGAAAGAGAATAAATAGCTTAGAAGAGAAAGTTGTCAATCTCACCCAAGTAATGGACTCCCCCGAAAGTAGAATAGACCGAATAGAAATCCATCACTCTGTGAGAAAGCAAAAAATATAAGGGAGGAAAGATTGAGAAAAAATAGAAGCAAATGTAAGATATCTGATATAAATAGAACAACAGACATGGAAAACGTTTCAAGGAGAGTTCATTTAAGAATCATTAAACTCCCTGAAACAATGATTTAAAAAAAAATCACCCTCTGTTTAAAGAAATCAAAAATGAAAATTGCTCAGATCTATTAAAACCAAAGGACAAAATAAAAAAGAAGTATCAAAAGAATGGAAGTATTAATTCCAATAACCTCATGGTCAGTAGCCAGAGCTCCCACAAAGCATCCAAAGCATCCCAAAAGGAGCAGTTCTAGTACCAAGAGACCATAATCAAAGTTACATAATTATATGACTTTGAAAAAAGTCTTGCATAAGCAACTTTGACTATAAATGAGAGATCTTGAATATGGCATTCCCCAAAGGCAAATTATACTACTACTACTACCACTACCACTACTACTACTACTACTACTTCTACTACTTCTACTACTACTACTGCTGCTGCTGCTGCTGCTGCTGCTACTACTACTACCCAAACTAATGATAAATTTGGAAAAATGAATCTTTAATGAAATAGATTTCCTGAATTTCTGATGAAAAAACCAGAGTTGAGTAGGAATTTTGATAATTACATGTGAAATACCTCCTTGTTTTTTTTTCATTTTCATCACCTCTTTCTCTCTCTCTCTCTCTCTCTCTCTCTCTCTCACACACACACACACACACACACACACACACACAGATTCAGAAGCTAAAAGATAATGTGTTTAATGTATATATGATCTCATAGTTTACTAGATGAAAGGAAACTGAGGGGGTCATCTATTTTGATCCTTTTTTGCAAAAGTGAGGAACTTGAAACAAGAAAAAATAAGTAATTTGCCCGAGGGCATACTTTTGTGATCTTGGATAAATCACTTCACTTCTTTTGGACTCAGTTTCCTCAGCTGTAAAAATGAGGAGATTGAATAGGTAAATGGTCAAAAACTATTAATAGACCGTTTTCAAAAAGATAAGAAATTTGAGCTATAAACAAATATATAAACATGAAAAAAATGCTCTAGATCATTCCTAATTAGAGAAAAGCGAGTTAAATCAACTCTGAGGTTCCACTTCACACCCACTAGATTAGCAATGATGATAAAAAAAGGAAATTGACAGTTGTTGGAGGGGCTGGAGGAATATAGGCACATGGATGAACTGTTGGTGGAGCTGGGAATCACTACAGCTATTCTTGGAAGCAATTTGCAACTATATCAAAAAGACATTAAACTGTGAATACGCTTTGACCCTAAAATACCACTACTAAGCCTATATACTATGGAATACTATACTATATACTATGTAATGGTATATTATTTTGTCCTAGATGAATAGATGACTTCTGAAATTCTACAGACATAAAATTATGTGCTTTGTTTTATGATATACACTGAGGGAAGCATAAAAACAAAAAATATGAACCCTGAAAGAGTCACATGATTAGCCTAACATCACACAGTGGTGAGTAGTTGAGCCCTTATTGTAACCCAGTTCCTCTGACTCTATGGCCAGTATTTATTACAATGCAACAGGCATTCCATTCACTCTTGGCTTTATCTTACTATATAATTCCATTTTATTAATATCATTCATTAATTTATACATGTTTAGAAAAGTATTTCCATGTTTTATCACTAAATAGACAATAGACAAAATGTTCTCATTTGTAAGGTTGTTGAAGTGAAAAGAATACAGTATTTGGAGAAAGATGACCTTGGGCTGAATACCTACTTTACCCCTCGACTTCCCAGGAGACAGTGGGCCTCAGATCCATCAGCTTTAGGTGACAGAATTGATCTCGATGTTTTCTAAGGAGTGATGTCTGATATCAGAAGATCTTTGTTTGAAGGCTGTGACTTTGGGTACATCAATAACTCCCACCTCTAAACACACACACACACACACACACACACACACACACTTTGTTCCTTTAGTTTCTTCATGTGTACAGGACTTAAAATTGGATTTTCCTGACTCTGAAGCTGGCCCTGTATTCACCAAGTCAAGATATCTTTTGGTTTTAAAATCCTGAAACAAAAAATAAATCTGTTTCTAAAATCTTAGAACTTGATGGGCTGGTCCAATTATACAGAAAAATAATTTGCTGAATTCAGCCATATTTTGTCATTAAATTTTTTTCCTTTTAAAAATCAATGTTAATTTTAAACATGAGGAAAATAAATATAAAAAACCTACCTTCTACCAAAATAGATAAGGGTTATGTGTAGACATAGTTCATTGACATTTAGAGCTAGAAGGAATTTTAGAGGTCATTTAATCAATACCTACATTCTACCCACAGAAAAATATCATAACGTGCTCAGGGTCACCCAGCTAATAAATGACTGATGAGATTCACATTTAGGCTCTCTGATTTTGAATGCACTGTTCTTTCTAACACATTCACCTGCTTCTTTCAGGGTTTGTAATTATGCTTCAAGTATAATTGTTTCACTCATTTCCAGGGTTTTTGAGGTATTCTACAGCTAAAAAACAAGATGTGAAATTATTGATGTTAAATAGAGATCCCTGAAATCTCATGGTTCTGTGCTATGTCTTTGGGAGGAACAAAATAAATAAACCAAATTGGTTTTTGTCATCAAATGAAGGGGATAAAACTGGTACCCAAACAAATATAATACTGATTAGCACAAAAGATCCTGGAATCTAGAGTAGGATTAAACATTAGAGGTTGCATCAATTGGAATATAATAAATGCATAGGAAGAATATAAAATACAATGAGATCAGTCATGATCAGTCACTTTCAGGTGAGAGAAAAAGGAAGGCTTATAGCTCGAGCAAACTGACTAAAGTTTCAGTGTGATGAATCATCATTCTGTGCCCTTTTGTTTGCAGGACTTCATTGTTTTTGACAGACTATAAAACACAGCTATAGCATCTCAAGATACTCAAAATAGAGATTTATTTTAATTTGTGGTTAGGTCTGCCACATAAAGCAAAATGGAAACCAACCAATGCTTTCATGGGAGCAATTTTTAGTGGACATCAATAAAATATGGCACAATGATAAAAAAGATCATGGAAATGTGCACAACGGGACCACAGAATGACTAATTAAATGACGCTGAACTCTCTATCTTAAAATCCTTCTTGATTGATAACTCTGGGAACTTAGCATTTCCCTGGGAACTGTCCCTTTCTTCTCAGAATTGTTCCTTCTTTCTCCAAATTGGAAGCAAAAAAGCTAGCAAACATGTAGGCCTCCTGCCAACAGCAAATCAACCATGCCTAGCAGAGAATTGGCCATGCCTAGCAAAGAAACATTCCCAGAATGAGAAAATTTTTTTCCTTCTCCTTGGTGTATCCAATTCTAGGGCCAACTCCCTCTGGCCACTATGACCACTGAAAACGCCGTAAGGAGGACCTTAAACAAAGCACGCTGCCAGAACATTGTCACAATGTTGTTTTGCGGTAACATTATTAATAACCATATCCTGCTTTAAGGTTCTGAAAAACATTTTTTTTACACTTTCTGGCCAATTGCCCATTCAAAACATTTAATAACATTACTCAGATAAAATTAACTATCCCCTCCAAACATATTTGAGGGGAACCAGTTAATTATGTGACTATGCAACCCTAAATAACGGAAAAGAAGAAAGGCTTGACCTTCAAGACCTTGTCTTGACACTTCCTATCTCATTGATTTGGTACAAGTTGTTTATCCTCTCTTAGTCGTTGTTTCATCATTCATAAAACTGGAATAACTATACCTCCATTACCTTCCTCACAGAGCAACAGTTAATAGAAGTGTTTTTTTTTTAATCTTAAAGTGTTCTAGAGATGTCAAGTTTTAGTACTTGTGATGTTATGCTTGAAAATATGGACAAAGGTCTGCAGAATGATTCAATGACATGTTAGCATGGCATACTGGACTTGAACAGCAGTGTTCAAATCCTGCCTCAGATATTTATTAGCTTTGTGACCCTGAGAAGGTCACTTGAGCCTCTCTGCCTCAGTTTCTTCATTTATAAAAATTATAGGTTTGGCCTCTAACACTGCTTCCAAATTGAAATACATGACCCTGTGGCTTAGAGGTGATATATTTATACTATCTCTCCTCTGAAACTATCTTTTCTAGAAGATGGAGAACAAAGATATGGACATTAGAGGATAGGAAGCACTCAAAACATTCTTGATTTTGACATTTTTGCATTTATGAAAATTACCTGAACAATTATAATACTAACTGTGTTGTTTTAGATAAGCAGCCTAAACTTACTAGGTTGCCATTTCCTGATCTATAAATGAGTAAGATGAAATTACGGGATAGTAATCATAACAACAACAATAATAACAAACACCTATTATTTATATAACACTTAAAAGTTTGCAACATGTTTTATGTACCTTGTCTCATTTGATTCTCACAACAACTCTATGTGATAGGTACTATTATTATCCTTATTTTACAAATGATGAAACTGAAGTGGAGAGTGGTTAAGTGATTTTCCCAGGGTGACACAGTCAATCAGTATCTTAGATATCCAGCTCAGGTCTTCTCCAATTATTGTAATGTTATTCATATAGAAGAATGATTAGGCTGGTTATATTTGGCTCCAGAGGGCAGAACCAGGATCAATGGGTTGAAGTTGAAAAGTGGAAGAATTTGACTTTACATTATTGGAAAAAAAATAACTTCTGTAGGCAGAGAGTTATATAAATGTATAATGGACTCCCTCTATAAACAACAAAAATGTTATTATGTCAGTTTTATAGATAAGGAAACCACAAGTCAGAGAGAATAAGTGACATATATTCTTAGTGAGCCAGTAAGTGTCAAAACAAGGCCTCGTTTGAGCTTCTTGGGGAAAGGCCAGATTAGTTAGGTATGAGTTGGCCTAGTTGGCCTGTGATTTCCCTTCCACCTCTAAGAGTATAAGATTCTGATTCATTTTCCAAGATTGCTGTTATCTCTAAAGTGTGACTTTAATTATTCAGTTCAGGGTTGTAGAAAAGGTCTCTAGTTTTAAAGAGAAGTTAATATAGAGACTCCTAAAATCAAAATAAGATGAGACTTAAAAATTACGTTTCTTGTTGCTCTTACATTCAGTGTAGATGAAGTTCTGAAAGAAAGAAAAGGAAAAGAACATGATGCACATAGTAAATCTTTTTTAAAGGATTATGAGTCCCAAAAAAGTGTGGTGTAACTATAGAAATGCATGGGAAACATCTCCAAGATGTGCTTTCTCTTTGGCTCTTATTCTCACTGAAGTACAAACAAGATACACATTATCATTTTTTTTTCCCGTGGAAAATGATATGATAGTTAAAAGCAGCTCAGAATGCCAAATAAAGAGGAGATAATTCATGGGAACAACTAAAGGGGAAACAGATAAGAGAAAACATATCATCTGTGTGCTCTAAAGTTGAGTAAAGTCACTTCATGTTTACACGAGGATATTAGCAAGGAGAGAAACAAGGAGATATACACATATCTCTTTTTCTCTGTATATGTTTACACATAACATATATGTATATGTATATATATAGCATTATATATGTGTATACATGCCTGCACACATACATAAATATATACACAATGTTCTTCTTGTCCTGAAATGATTTTCTAAACTAAAATACTAGAATAATATACTAATCTTTCCCTTTCCCTTTCCCTTGTGTGTTATCTATCATCTTTTTAACTAATTGCTCATTTATAACCTAATCAGAATGTTTTTGTTGAATTGATTAGGTAGTCCTATTTACTGGGAAATTGTCATACTCCACCCCTACTCATTTATTGAAATCAAATTTGGCCCCAGAACTTGATAGCTAGATGACCCTATATATGACCCAAGCAAGTCATTTAACCTCTGTCTGCCTCAATATCCTTCACCTGTAAAATGGTGATAGCAATAATACCTGCCTCCTATGATTGTTGTGATTATCACATGAGGTGATATTTTTAAAGCTCTTAGCACAGTATTTGGTACATAGTAGGCACTTAATAAGTGCTTGTTTCCTCACTTCATTCAGTTTATTTAAGCCTTCCCAGGTTTTTCTGAAACCTTCTTACTTATCATTTCTTCTAGCACCATAGTATTCCATCGCAATCATATAGCACAAGTTGTTCAACCATTCTCCAGTTGATGGGAAGCCCTTCAGTTTCCCACCACAAAAAGAGCTACCAAAAACATTTTCGTACATATAGGTCCTTTCATTTTTACTTTAATCTCTTTGGATTACAGATTTAGTAGAGGTATTGCTGAGTAAAGGGGTATGCACAGTTTAATAGCCATAAGCCCAAATTGCTCTCCAGAATGCTTAGATCAGTTCATAATTCTACCAACAGTGCATTAGTGTCCCAATTTTTTCCACATACCATCAAATATTTTTCATTTTCATTTTCTATTTTCACTGATTCCTTTGATATTCTTGACCTTTTTTTCCAGATGAATTTTGTTATTATTTTTTCTAGTTCTATAATATAATTTTAGGCATTTTGGTTGGTATGGGACTGAATAAGTAAATTGATTCAGGTAGAATTGTCATTTTTGTTATGTTGGCTCAGCCTACCCATGAACAATGAATATTATTACAGTTATTTAGCTCCATTTTTATTTGTGTGGGGGAAAAAATCATTTTTAATTGTCTTTATATAGATCCTGGGTTTGTCTTGGCATGAAGACTCCCAAGTATTTTTATTGTCTGAAGTTATTTTAAATGGACTTTTTCTTTCTTTCTCTTCCTCTTGGATTTTGTTGGTAATGTATAGAAATGCTGATGATTTGCATAGATTTATTTTAAATCCTGCAATTTTGCAGAAGTTGTTACTCATTTCAACTAGTTTTTAGTTGATTCTCTAGGATTCTCTAAGTATCCTATCATATCATCTGCAAAGAAAGATAATTTGGGGGCAGCTAGGTGGTGCAGTGGATAGAGCACCAGCCCTGAAGTCAGGAGGACCTGAGTTCAAATCCGGCCTCAGACCAAACACTTGACACTTACTAGCTGTGTGACCCTGGGCAAGTCAACCCCAATTGCCTTAAAAAAAGAAAAAAAGAAAGATAATTTTGTTTCCTCATTGTATATTCTAATTCCCTCTATTTTCTTTTCCCTGTCTTATTGCTATAGCTAGCATCCTAGTACACTACCGAATAATTATGGTGATAATGGACATCTTTGCTTCACCCCGATCTTATTCAGAAGGCTTCCAGGTTATTCGCATCACAAATAATTGCTGCTGATGGTTTTAGGTAGATACTACTTATTATTTTGAGGAAAGCCCCATTTATTTCTAGTCTTTCTAATGATTTTAATGAGTTTTTTTATTTTGTAAAAATAGTTCACACTTTTTGATTGAAAATCATACTATTGAATATATTCCCCAAAGAGATCAATAATACAAAGAAATGTCCTACCATATATAACAAAAATATTCATTTCAGTGCACTTTTAAATACCCTCCCCCAAAAAAGTACACCATGGAAACAAGATAACAAGAGTGGTGCTCATTCATCTATTTGCTTCTTGTGGAATAGCTGGGGAAATTATGGTATATAGATATAATCGGATATTGTTACATTATAAGAAATTATGAATGTGAAGAACGGAGAGAAACTTGTAGAGACTTAGGAGTTATATAGATAAGAGAAAGCAAAAAGGGGCAGCTGGATAGCGCAGTGGATAGAGCTCCAGCCTTGGAGTCAGGGGGACCTGAGTTCAAATCCAGCCTCAGACACTTGACACTTAACTGTGTGATCCTAGGCAAGTCATTTAACCCCATTGCCTAGCAAAAAAAAAGAAAAAAAAAGATAAAAAAGCAAAAGCAAGAATACAATATGTATGAGTACAATAGTGTAAATGATAATAGTACTATAAAGCATTCAAATTAATAAAATGTAATGAACAATCTCAGGTTCTAAAAAAATGACAAGATGACAAAGGAAATATATCTTTCAGTAGAAAGACGGGGATTGTTGAAATGTGATATGGCGTGTTGTTTTGTTGTTGTTCGGTTGTTTCAATCACATCCAACTATTTGTGATCCAATTTGGAGTTTTCTTGGCAAAGATACTGGAGTGGTTTGCCATTTCCTTTCTACAAATGAGAAAATTGAGGCAAACAGGGTTAAGTGACATGCCCAGGTTCATACAGCTAATGAGTGTCTGAAGCCAGATTTGAACTCATGCAAATAAGTTTTCCCTGTCCTTGATGCTCTATCCACTGTGCCACCAAGTTGCCCACATAATATAGCATGCATTATCAATTAATCAAGTAAGAATTGTTCTGCATCTTTATGCCAATCACTGAAGTAGACACTATGGTTACAAACAGAAGAACTAAGAATTCCCTGCCTTTAAGGAATTTATATTCTACTGGGGATACACTTATGTAAATATGTATAAGACAGATAAAAATAAATAGGAGGAAATTTGAGGAGAAGGCACTATGATCATGAATGGCCTCATGTATCATATGATTGTACTAGGTTTGAGTTTGATGGAAACTAGATTTCTAACAGAAGTGAGGAGGTTATATTTTCTAAGCACGGGAGATAAAGGCACTGAAATGGAAGATGCTGCATAGATAAGCTTTGCTTAAATGTTTTGTCTTGTTACAAGGAAGTATTCAATGCTGGAAGATTAAGGAGAGATTTATAGCATAAAAGCAAAAGGTAATGATAAAACTTTAAAATATGTGTGGTACTAAGTCTGTTAGTGGTTTGTCATTGTCTAGACATAATCTTAAGACAATGGCAATTACCAACTGTATGCAGATGATAGAACTCTTATTTATTTTACCAGTACCATGAGAACCATAAGAATTTTACCAAATGTGTTCCATGCAGAGGTCCCTATGTTAGGCAAATTGAGAAGGGATTCAGAATATTCTGTTTGACCCAGAACAGGACCAGGAACAGAGAGTAGAGGTTGTAAAGAAGTCATTTTAGTCTTGATGTCAGGAAAAAAAAAGCTTTCTAATGATTAGAACTGTCAAAAATGGAATGGGTTGCCTTGAGAGTTGATGGATTTTCCCTTCGTGAAGGGAGAACCTCCACTTTCTTCGTGGTGGAACCTAGATGAGTGCTTGTTGGGTAGATTATAGCAAGTATTTTATCTCATATATAGTTTGAACTTGATGACCTGTAGGTTCCCTCTCAATTTTTAAATATTGTGATTCTAGGGTTATTTTCCCTATATCACCTATAGAGTTGGGCCGTTACTCTAGGCTTCCCTGCCCACGGACCATTTTGATTTAATTTTTTCCTTCGGTAAATTGCCTGACTTGTCTGATCATGTAGGTACCAAGAAGGCTGGGCCCAGGAATACCCAACAAGTGAGAAGCAGCTCTAGGACCAACATTATCATTTAGTTCTTTAGGACAACTTCTTTATTCAAAGTCTTAAACATTCAGAGCTGGCTGTCAAAGGGAATTATACCAGCAGAGCTGAAAACAATTAGGTGTGTAGTAATTGGGATATATTCAAAAGAAGGTATTACCAAGACTTATCCTGAACACTCCAGTTTGGGAAGATATTTCTCTCTGAACAATGAAGGAGAAAATGGCTTTAGTTTTTACTTCAAGAAATGACTATAGTCTGCTTAGGCCAGTGTGAGCTTAATCGTGATCTGCCCCTGCTAAATTGGAAGAAAGCATAAAAGATTTCATCTGGAACACAAAATATTTGTCTTTATGTGGAAATTTCTCCTTGTGAAGTCTTCAATATGCTCTAAGACCTACAGATATAATCTTCCAGAAGATTAGATGGTTTTTAACTGACTTCACCTTCAAAGGAATCCTTTTCCCATTTGTGTTTTAATTTGTATTTATTGTATATCTATCACCTCCATACACTGGATGCTGTGATAGGTCTTGCATCTAATTATGCTAAAAGGCTTAATCACTCAGGAAACTTGCAGGGTAATGGCTAACATATTTAAGACAAAGTAGTTTGATTCTTTTTTTTTTTTAATTAAAGGGTTAGGAAAAGAGCTCATGCTCAGTTAAAAAAGGGTGATTTTTCCTAGCATTTAGATACATTTTTGTTTTATTCTTACAGAAACAGAGATGTTGATTAGGCATAAAACAAAAGGGTAAAGGAAGCAACCAGAGTAAGATCTGATCACAATGAAGAGAAGAATAGACAAGAATCATTAAATTCCAGAATCCCAGATTTGGAGGAGACTTCAGAAGCAAGTTACTTCAATCCACAACTGAAAAAGAAACACTCCATTTGTTATACTTGGGAAATGATCAACAAGCCTTTCCCCAAAGACCTCCACTGAGGGAGAATTTATTACCTGTCAAGGCAGCCCATCCTACCTTTGGGTACCAAGCTTTCTTCTTATCAAGCCAAAACCCTCCCTCTTTTTTGTAAATTCTGTTCATTTCTTCCTGTTTTGCCCTCCAGGGTGAAGTAGGACAACTCTAACATCTCTTCCATATAATAGTCCATTAAGTAAGTGTAAATATTCTTTTGCCCTCCTAATCCCCCACTCTCCAAGGCTTCTCCGGGCTATCTGATTTCCTTTTGCATTTTCAGATATGCACAATCTCGAAGAGTGTGTGTATATGTCACACACATATGTGTATATATACATACTATGCGTGCTGTACATGCTTGTGTATACATGTTATGCCTGTATATGCATGCACACATGTGTGTATGTGTACATATGTGTCTGTATCCATGTCATTCATTAAATGACCCACTCAGAAATTAATACAGCATTCTAGCTGATCTCTGATTAGGGCAGAATACAGCAGGATGAGCACCTCCCTCATCTTGAATGTTACTCTCCTCATCACACACCCTAATAGGGCATTAACTTTTCAAAGTCAAAATACTTAATCAAGATGAAGAATAGAAACCCAAAGAGATGGTGACATAGATGAGGATAATAGCAAAAGGCAAGTTGCTGCCTACCTGACTGAAATGACCAAAGGGAAAGAGAGTAAGCATTGATAGAGTGTTTATTATGTTCTTTACTATGTTCCAGGCACTGTGCTAACCCTTTTACAGATATTGTTTCATTTGATGCTCACAACAATCCTACAAGGTAGGCGCTACTATTATGCCCATTTTACAGTTGAGGGAATTGAGGCAAATTGAGGTTGAAGGACTTGTCCAGGGTCTTGCCGCAAGTATGGGTCTGAGGAAAAATTTGAATTCAGGTATTCCAGACTCCAGGCTTATCACTCTATTCACTGTGCCATCCAACTGTCTGAAGGGACTTTCCTTAACTTCTGATGATTTGGAAGCAGGAAGGAATTTTCCCCATAGAAATGATTTTGCATATATGGTGATTTCCAGTCCAGAACCACAACAAAAAAGCATATTTAACCTTTAGTGGAACATCTAGTAATTTAGCAGAATTCTCTTTATTGAAACAGAGCAGTGGAATAATAGTCCCGCAGAGCAGTAAAATACACAGACTCACCAGGCTTGTTTATTTTCAGATGGTGCTACTTTTCTCTTTGTCCTATAACTGTCTGGATCTTTGTTCCTTTGCAGAGACATGTTCATCTGTTTACATGCTGGTATGAATAAAGAGACCAAGGTTGGTAGAATATACTTTGAGGACTATAAACAGTAAAAAGAAACATTAGCATTTAATCCCCTATCCTGTAATGTGTCTGTAACACGTAATAATGTTTCTTTGGGAAAAGGCATTCTGAGTTCTAACTGGAGGTTCAAATTTAATCCAAATACAAGGCACACTTATTCAGCTTCTACGATAAGAGAAACACTATGCTAGTATGGAGAGCTTCAGAGTTTATATAAGACATAGATCACCACCCTCATGGAATTTTCAGTCAGAGAGGGAAGGGAAACAGAGAGTGGGAAACACACAGAGATAGCTAGACTACCCAGTAAAAATGTGGGCACTTTAAAGAGATGGCAAATCAAAGTGCTACCTTTGGAGTCAAAGGTATCATGGTAGAATCTTCTTGACTTTTCTGATTACTCTAAGTCACTTTCCCTCCCTGAGCCTTCATTTTCTCATCTCTGAAGTGAAATAGATTGGAGTAGATGATCTTTGGATGGAAGGGACCTTGTAGACTCATAGGACAGTAATGAGAACAAAGGCACAAGGGCGAGAAAACTCCTTCTGTCCACATGGCCTACTGACCAGTCGGCTGGTATAAAATGTAAGGCATGGAGTCATTTAAGGTGAGTATACAAAAGTAGATTGATGCTACATTTTGGAGGACTTTAAATGCCAAACAAAGGAACCTAAAATTTCTTCATCTAGAAATAGAAAGTTGTTAATTATTTTTTAATCAAGGAATGGTAGAAACCTGGAACCATTGTTCTTGTGTTGGGGGATAGAATTCCAACTTTTCCCCTCAGGCCACATTCAGCAGCACTTGTGCAACATAGGAAGTCCATATGGTCAGAGGAGGAGAGATGAAATCATGACATGAGGGTATAAAGGAAAAGAGGAAAGGTTGCATAGGCAGAAGATCACAGGAGGAACTTCTCAATCCTGAACAATTGTCTACATTTTTAATGGGCAGGAGTTAAAAAGGTGCCCTCCTATCTAAACCCCTCCTATTCCCCATTTCCTTTTTTCACATCATCAGGGTATGGGAAACTGTCAGTGGGATTTGGGAGTATTCAAAGAACTAAAATAAGAGCCATTAGTATTTCAAAAAACAAGCAGACTCAGCCATTCCCCAGCAATTCCTCCTAGAATTTAGGGGGAAATTCTGGGTTATAATTACTTGGGGACTTTTAGTAAGTGTATGAAGAAAGGGAGGCTTTTTACAGAGAGAGAGAAGTTAGGACTGGTGACAGAAATAAAAATTTTCAGGATTGAAGATACTTCCAAAACACTATGTTAGGGTTGGGAGAGCAGTAATACAATGCTGACTTTCTCTTCTTCTTTTGATATAGTCACCTTAGATTAACATCCTGGGCTATCTGTAAGGAAATGCAGAGGTATGTGTGTAAAATGTCTCTGAGAGGGAGTGAAAATGGCAGAGAGAGCAAAGGAGTATGTTAAAGAAAAGGAATGACTGCATCAACCAAATCCCTTGTTTGGAAAAGCTGCTCTCTGAGATTGTATACACACATATATACATACATACATACATGCAAGCATGCATACACACATACACAGATAAACACAATTTACATTATATGCACATATATGTATATTTCCAAGCATATATGCATATATGTGGGTATATAACAAAACGGGGCACTCTGACCAATGCCTGGTCATATTTAATCTTGAAGACCTTAGCTGTCACTGAAATGTTCCATTCCCCATCATTGCTTTCCTGGGCTCTATCTTACCTATGTGGCAATTTAGTCTCTATGGCTCAGGTCCCCATCCTATTGTCATTCTTCCTTCTTTTCAGTGTGCCATTGTCAAAAGACTGAAAACATCATTATGCTAGTAAGCATTTTAATTTTTTTAGCTAACGGGTGATAAAATCAGAAACAGTACTCACATGTGGTGTATATTATGCATAGTCCAGGACATCAGAATCCTGTGGTATGCTGCCCTAGTGAGACCAAATCTGAAAGTATTTTGTTTAGTTTGAGGCAATGGATTTTTTTAAAGGACGTTGATGAGCTGACGAACATTTGTGGGAAGACAACATGTATGGGAAAAGGCTTTGCGATAATGGCATATAAGACTTTTTTTAAAAAAAATACTTGGTTATATTTAACCCAGAAAACCCTATGCTAAGCAGGGAAATGATAGTTATTTTCAAAGATTTGAAGGCTTGTTCAGAAAGAGGGTTAGATTTGTTTTGTTTGGCCCTAGAGAGCAAAGCCAGGAGCCATGTATGGGAGATTCAGGGAGACAGAAATTGATTTTGTGCCATAAAACATTTCCTAATAATTAAAGCTACACAAAAGTACAATAGGCTGCCTTGGGAAATAGTAGGTTTCTCCTCATGAGATGTCTACAAGTAAAGATTAGGTAACCAATTATTGGATATACCCACAGGGGATTGTTGTCTAGGTATGGATTGTACTGGAATCAGGGGTGGGGAACCTGCAGCCTTGAGGTTACATGTGGCCTTCTAGGTCCTTGGGTGTGGCCTTTTGACTGAGTTCAAATTTTACAGAACAAATTTTATTAAGGGGATTTGTTCTGTGAAGTTTGGATTAAGTCAAAGGGCCGCACTAGAGGATCTAGAGAGCCACATATGGCCTTGAAGCTGCAGGTTCCCCACCCCTGAACTAGATTAATTATTAGCTTCCTGCCAACTCTAAGACCCTATCATTCAATGAGTTGGTGATTAATTGTTTGCTGATCTGAGATTTCATCGATATGAGTATACCCTTTACCAATTCAAATGGTAGTTCTTTTGCCATGTAGTACGTGGATTGATAGAATTATCATAGCTAAAGAGTAGCTCACTTTCCACATACTCAAATGTTGAAATTCTCTGGACTTACCTGGAATGGTCCAAGGACAACTGGCACACAATCTCTTGGTGGACTAATTCTTGATCACCGTAATATTAACTGGTTGAAAATTGGAGGTTTCAAACATGAGAGTGCAGGCATATAGTGGTAAAATTACTTAAAATAGAAATGCATTAAGGGATGGAGACAACTGGCGTTTCTAATTTTGACCAATGAAATCATAAAGATTTAATAAAGTCTCTAAGAAATAGGCAGAGTGGTGTAATGAAAATAGCACTTGAATCAGATGAGACCTGGATTTGAAACCTGTGTGACCATGGACAAGATGCTACAACTCCTAAGTTCTCAATTTCTTCATCTAACAGAATTGTTATATAAACATGAGCTAGAATGAGCAAAGCATGACCATAACTGAAAAAAAAATAAAGTAGAAGAAGAGTGATAGTTCCTTTGTACTAAAAGCATCCCTGAGAACTAGTTGCAAATAAGAGATACAACTTCAAAGGAAGCCTTATGAAGACCCCAGGCTCTTTTCTCAGATAAACATGAATACAGATATAATTCATATGAGTGTATATTTATATACTTTTTTTAAATATGTATACCTGTGTGTATAATTTTGAGGAAGGTATTACCTGAACAGAACCTTGAAGGAAGCTAGGGAAGATAAGAGATGGAGGTGAGGAGGAAGAGCATTCTAGTCAAAGGTGGCAACCTTTGCAAAGATGCAGAAGTGGAAGACAGAACATCATATAGTGTGAATAACAAATAGGGTAGTTTAGCAGGAAGACAAGAAAAGAATACAATAGGAAGTAGACTTCTGGCATCTCCTTTTTTAAGTGATAATATTTATGAACTGCTAAATGGGAAAAAAAGAAGATCCCCAAGTAATGTATAATGCTTTTTAGATAGTGATATAGACTGTTGTTCAGTTGTTCCTTCAGTTCTGATTCTGTGACCCTATAAGGGGTTTTCTTGGCAAATATACTGGAGTGGTCTGCCATTTCCTTCTCCAGCAGATTAGGCCAACAAAGGTTAAGTGACTTGCCCAGGATCACACAAGTAGTGAGTGTCTGAGGCTGGATTTCCACTCAGGTCTTCCTAATTCCAGCCCAGTGCTCTATTGACCGAGTCATTTAACTGCCTTTCATGACATACACAAATACATAGATAGATGAATAGATAGACAGACAGACAGATAGACAGATATAGATATGTGTCTATATATATATATATATATATATATATATAGACACATACACGTGTATAGTTTATGTGTGCGGATTGTCTATATACATGCATATATACGTACAGGCTTGCATACATGCACAACACACATAAAATCATTGGGTCATAGGTAGAATATTAGACCTGAAGTCAGAAATATCTGAGCTCAAATCCTGGCTCAGACCCAGACAACTGATAACTGTGTGACCCTGGGCAAATCACTCAACCTCTTTCAGTGTCTGGTTCTTCACCTGTAAAATGGAGATAATACCACATGTATCATGGATAATTTGTCATAAGGATTAAACAAGATGACATATGTAAAGCTCTTTGCAAACTTTAAAGTGCTATATAAATGCTAGTTATTACCATCATTACTATTATTATTATTAATTAATTATCATTACAGAGCTAAGAAGGACTAAAGAGGTGATTTGGTCCTACCACTTCACGTTAATTTTATAGACATGGAAACTGAGGTTCCAGAAGTTAAGTGATAACAACAATAAAAACACCAATAACAACTACAACAACAGCAATGATACTTAGCATTCATATAGCACTTTGAAGTTTAAGAAAATGATTTTTAAATACTATTTCATTTTGTTTTCACAAAAACCCTGAAAGGTAGATGCTTTTATTATCTCCATTTTATAGATGAGAAAACTGAGGTAGACGAAAATTTAATGACTTATCCAGGGTCCCATAACTACTGTCTGAATCTGGATTTGAGCTCAGATCTTCCAGAATCCAGGTCCCTAGCTGTTTCATAGATTATGTTAAAAGGAGACAACAAAATTAATTTTAATTATCCTCTGAAAAATATGCATGTATATGTTTATGATTACACATGCACATATATACATACGCATGTAGAGTCATCAGTGCCAAATGTGTTTTTGTGCATTCCTTGGAATTTTTTTTTTTTTTTTGCAATTTAGCAAATCACAGATTATAGGGGATAGGCACATGTAATTTCATTGATATATTGAACTCAGGGTAAGGAAATTCCCTCTAACAATGTAGGTCTGTACATTCTCACCTTGGAACATTATCAAGAGAACAGAGGTAAAGTGATTTGCCCAAGGTCACATAGCCAGTTGGTCTCAATGCCATGACTTTCTCTGTGGCTAACTCTCTCACCATAAATCCATGCCTCTTCTCTCCCAATAGCACTCTACCAGCTGCACGACATACTAGAGAAAGAGTAGGCCTTGTACTGAGAAAGACCTATTTCTAGCTCCCCTCCCCAATAAACATACATACACTCATAGGTGCATACACACACATGCACACACACTTGCTGGCTCTGTAACCCTGGGAAATCACTTACCCTCTCAGCATTCTAAATGATCCTCCAAAGACACAGGTTGCAGAGAAGGTAGTCATCGGTGTTGGTAGTTACCTCTTCTAAGACTTGTTTACTGATGAAATCACAGCTCATGTCACAGACAAAGGGAGACACCAGAATTCCATTCCATATTACCCTCCAGAATATCTTCTGATGTCCGAGAAGGGAGGTGGCATTCACAGTCAGCCTTCTTGGTAATTGCATATGGGAGTTTTAGCTCTCTGATAGCCACAGCTCTCTATGAGATGCAATCTTTAAATGAGCAAAGGGTCTTCTCCGTATTTCTTAGGCACTGGCCCAGCAAGACCTGGAGAATGATAAAGCATGGCATCAATTCTACAAGGTAGTTTTGCGGCTACTGCCTGAGCCTGCAGATAGTAAGCGTGCTGTAGAAACACATCTGTTTCTCTTTTGGATGACCGGACTTTAAGCATCTCTTTCATTAAGTATTGTCAGGGTAGCAAGGGAAAATTAATTATCTGTCAAAATAAGGGCTTTAGACAGCATGGGCCCCACTGTGAAACCCCACAAGGGGAGGTTCTGGGAGGAAAGCTTTTTTGGTTGTTATTATTTAGTCTCAGCATGATAAACGCAGAAAAAGACACGGTTAGATTACACATATCCTTGTTATGTTTATGAGGAATTCTGATAATGAAGACCAGACAGCTGCAGAAAAATGGAAAGAATTCATTGAACAGGGCATTTAAACTGATTTTTTAAAGCATTCTATTTCCAAGTGAATACCTAGAAATTAGTATTCTAACCCAGTTGCCCTTAACAGGAAATTGAAGATGGACTCAGAAAACCACATTAAAAAAATTTCTCAACACTGAAAAATGGTTGGGACTCAGGCCCAGTGTTAAATTTATCAGGCACAAACTTGCAGGCAATAGAGTATCCAGGAAATTGAAATGAGTCCAAAGAGACTATATTTAACCCTTTCTTGGGTCCTTCTCTGATGTCTACTGTCTAGATGACATTGGGTAAGTCATTTTACTTCTCTAAGCCTTAGGTTTCTCATTGTAAAATTAGAGTGATTACACTGATCACCTATTAGGTCCCTTGTAATTCTAAGTCTATGATCATTGTTTTGTACCTCTGATTAAGGATGATGGCAGATAGACTGGATTTTGGAAGGCCATGTTGATCCTTAAAAAAATTGCAAAGGCCTGACAATTAACCATGTGTATACTGTTTAAATATTAACTTAGATAAGGTCAGAAGGCTTCATAAAGAGAAGACCAACCAGGGTCATTACATAAGTAGAAAAATATCATTTTCATTCCTTAGCTCACTTTTTATTCTACCTCTAATTCATTTCCTCTCTAACCCAGAGAGAATCTTGGATATGTCTAACCATGAATAATAGTTTTCTGAAACAGAGAGCTATGAGTTCCATCTGGACCATCTAGGGATTTTATCCTGAGATCTTTGGAGAGAGAGAGAGAGAGAGAGAGAGAGAGAGAGAGAGAGATCTATATAGCTATAGATAATAACTTCAATATAAATGATTCATTTGTAATCCAGTGTATTTTATTTTATGCATTCAAAAACATACTTGAGAAGGGAATCACAGTCATCAGGTTGACAAAGGAATTCATAACAGGAAAAAAAAAACAATTAAGACATCCGACTTAAACAGCTAGGTGGCACTGGAGTGAATAGAGCATAGGTCCTGAAGTCAAGAAGGCTCATCTTCTTGAGTTCAAATCAGGCCTCATATACTTACTAGCTATGTGATCCTGGACAAGTCACTTAACCCAGTTTGCTTCAACTCCTCCTGTGTAAAATGAGCTGGAGAAGGAAATGACAAACCAGTCTAGTACCTTTGCCAAGAAAAACCCCAAACAGGATCACAAGGAGTTGGACACAGCTGAACAACAGAACCTAAACATAGGACATGAAAAAGATTTAATTGTAGCCTAGGATCTAGGTATGGTGGCTATGACTAAAGATCTGTAAGAAAACTTTTTTTTTTTTCAGAAAGAAGTTTTCTAACCAATTTACCCTAGAAGACTGGAACTTAGAAATCCAACAGGTGACCCAAAAAAGATGAAGTCCAAAACATAGTAGCAAAGAACAATGACCAGCAGAGATTAGACAGCTAGAAAGTATCATAAAACCATCTGAAAACAATGGATCAATGCTCAACAGAGACCACTGGGCCCAATGGCCACCACAAGAGCATGAGAGACCCAGCAATACTTTTCTACTCCCTCACCAAACTACTTTGCATTCATTTTGTATAAATTATGTTTATCCTATTGTAGGTTCGTGTTGTCTCCTCTCTGGAACAGAAGCTCCTTGAAGACAGAGACTACTTCACTGTTGGCTTTGTATCTATGGCTTTTAATGTAATACCTTCTGCATAGTAACAGAATAAGAAGAGGGGTTAGATGTGATTCCATTCATCTGAGAATTCATGAGTGAGAGGACTCGCTCAACCAGCACATCCTACTGTCCTCCAGAGCCTAGAGCACTGAGAGGCTGAGTGATTTATTCTGAGTCAGACAGTCACACAGAGATAGAACGTGAATCAAGTTCTTCAAGTGTCCAAGCTGACTTCTTTATCTGCTATGCGGCTTCTCTAGCATAAAGAAAACAATTAAGAAATGTGAGCTGATTGACTGTTTCTTTGGATGTGATACTAATTTCCAAGAGCAGTTAGGTTTGTTTTGTTTTATTTTACTACCTCCTTAATTATCTTCACTATCAGTTCTTTCCTAGTCATCTTTGTTTGGTCCTTTCATGTTGAAAATCATCCTCTTTGCCAGGAAAAAAAAACCCAACAACAACAACAACAAAAAACCAAGCCAAATAAAACCGAGCAGGCTTGCTTCCTTTCTGTTGTTTGTTATTATTGGCTCATGGACCTATAATAGCAGTCCTATCCCTTCACTGTTCCTCCCCCTTTCCCTAGTATATCTTAAAAACAGAAAAGCAACACTTTTGGTTATTATCTATAACTTTCCTCCTCAGCCTCAGCTCATTCTAACCTTTCACACTACTAATGACTATTATTATAGATTATGCCATGCTTTTGTATTCCTTCTGCATTTCAGGTCAGACAGAAGAGAAAAGGAAAAAACAAAATTAGATTTGGATTTGGAGCTAGGACATGGATATGTGTATGTCTTTCTGCGATTTTGTTCTGGCTGCAAGAGTTCTATGGTTAAGTGTTCTTTAAATGTAACACCTATGTGTATAAATATATATATATGTATATATATATGTATATATATATGTATATATATATATATGTACATATATACATATATGCCAATTCTTCCTGGGAATAGTAGATACGTTTGTAGAAGAGTATTTCCCAGATTCCGTCTTCTCCATGTAACTTTTTAAAATCTAAATTGGTTAGAGAGCTCTCTGTGGATTCGTATGGGTCTTATTAGACTTTTCCCTTATCATATGAATCATTTCTTTTTCAGTATTCAGAACTTCATTCCTACCAGCTTTCATCATTTTTTCTTCCTTCCTTGGTTGAATTTTTCCTATAGAACTTTAGGCTATAGGATCATTCTTTCTCCTCCAAATCTAGAATGTTCTTCTGTTGGCCTATGCTCAGCCCTCTCCTCCTTTTCTATCCTAAATTCTAAGAAGTGGTTGCTTTTCCCCAAGTTCCATTTCAATAACTACTTTAAAAAAATAGAAAATCCAATCTGGAATAGAATTTCCTGTGCATTGGAGCAGCCAGCTTTGGAGAGGATTGCCAGAGGTTTACTATCTTTAGGAAAAAGGAAAGTTAATACCAAAACGTGAAATGAGCACAAGGGAATGAAGGGAAGTCATTAACAATTTAGAGCCTGTGGAGTTTCCACAGGACTAAGGATAATGGGAAGATGGGAAGATAGAGGAGGAGGATAGAAACTATGGGAACATGTGGCTACTTGGAATGAGCTTGGGGAGTGCAGACAGAGATAGGAAAGGGTTTTTTTTTTTTAATCAGGGTGGATAATGATTGGTAGTCACTGTGGCAGGGTATCATAGTGCATGGGGCATTAGACTGAGAATCAGAAGAGGTTCTACTCTCATCTCAGGCATTGGTAGCGTTGTGATTCTGGCCAAGTCATTGGATATGTGTCTTAGTTTCTTCATCTGTAAAATGAGAGGAATGACCTCTAACAAGGGTTCTTAAATTTTTTGTGTGCACCATGGATCCCTTTGACAGTCTGGGGAGGTCAAATATTGCTGTGGTTTGTTGCCTACATTCATAATGAAAGGAAATCCTAAGTTTCTGTTAGAGATTAGTAAAAATAATGATGTATTATTTTCCCGTCCAAGTTCACAGACCTGAGATTATTAACCCTTGGCCTATATACTCTCTTCTAGCTCTAAATCTATTATTATCCAATGAGGAAAAGAGCAGAAATTTAATCGACATGGGATGGGGTAGCCCCAGGTAGGCAGAAACTTATAGGACACATCAGCTAGAGAGCTCAAAATTGAATATTGATACAAGGGGCCTTTTCTAATAAAATATTCTTTTAGGTAAAGTGGTATACAGATGTAAGGGATTGTAAGAATAATAAATAATAAATGAAAAATCTGACTCCAAATGAACATAAAAACTGTCTCCTTTCACCATTTTCCATTTCCAGAAAGAATAGTGTCTTTGTTTTTGTTATAGTTTTGATACATCTGCTATTTCTGGGATTAGATTAACCAGATGAATTAAACAAGATGATTAAACAAAAGCCACTTTTCTACCTCAAAATTCTCATTTCCCCCACAGTTATCAGAATCAGAGAGTTTTATGCGTAAATTTGTAGAATAATCTCCAGCTGTGCCTGTGACTAACCCTAAGTAAATAAACAAGCTTCATCTAATTTTTTCTCAGTTTCAAGGGCACATTTTCAGACTTTCCTATTAGAAAATTGTTTCCAGAAGAAGACAGTGAACTAATTGAGTTCTCTTTTCTGAGGGCAACTAGGAAGTCTTTGGCTTCCATATCAACTCTTCTTTGAGGGTTTTCTATGTCCGAGTTGTCCGTAAAGAAGGACTCTCCCTCGGTGGTGGAGCTGTTCCAAAATGGCAGTCATTGAATCTAGGGTGTTTAAATAAAATCTTATTCTGTGATAAGTAATGGACTCTGCAAGGGTGAAGCTTATTTAATAGAAGTTGATGGCCAGACCAGCATATCACATGTGCTCTACTTCTTTTCATTAAGTCCCTCTTTCTGTAAGAGAAAGACTAGATACAGGAAGCCCTGGGCTCCAATTCCACTTGGGACACCTGTTAGCTGTATGACCATGAGAAAGTCACCTTACTTATATGAACCTTAGTTTCCTCATGTGTAAGAGGAAGATAGGGCTATTGCAATACCTATCTCACTAGGTATCCAATAAAATGATGTACATAACAAGGTTTGCACATGTTAGAGTTTTAGGTGATAGATGTGTGTGTGTATGTGTGTGTGTGTGTGTGAGAGAGAGAGAGACAGAGAGAGACACAGAGGGAGACGGAGATGGATAGAGACAGAGGGAGTGAGAGAGAGAGTGAGAGAATGAGAGAGCCAGATACAGAGAAAAAGAGTCAGAGAGATAAAGAGAATGGAAGAGAGAGACAGAGAGTGAGAGAGAGAATGAGAGACAGAGGGAGAAAAAGGGAGAGAGAGAGATGAAGATAGGGATAGAAATATA